CAGGCTCAGCTTCAAAGGATCTTAACTATATTTTACAAAAATCATCTGACAGAAATGTGAGGTTCCATTATCAAAAGAGTTGATATGATGGTGCAAAAAAATTTTTGATGAAAATTATACATTCCATGAAAAAGTTTATAAAACAGTATATACAATATAACTCCATTTGAGAGGTAAAATACATTTAACACTGTGTGGGAGGCAGGGGGACTGCTTGTGGTTCAGTTTGAGACCAGCCTGGGCAACACAGAGAGATGCCATTTCTACCTCAAAAAAATAAAAACAAAGTAAGTTTTTTAAACTGTATATATGTACATGTGTGTATCAATATAAAAAGTCTGGAAGGATAGACATCAAAAGATTTAGAATACTTAGTTAACACTGGGTTGTATGAACATAGACAATTTTTCTTTTTTGAGAAGGAGTCTCCCTCTGTTACACAGGCTGGAGCATAGTCTCAGCTCACTGCCTCTGACTCCCGGGTTCAAACGATTCTCCTGCCTCAGCCTCCCGAGCAGCTGGGACTACAGGCGCACAACACCACGTCCAGCTAATTTTTGTATTTTTAGTTGAGAGGGGGTTTCACCATGTTGGCCAGGCTGGTCTCAAACTCCTGACCTCATGTTCCACCCACTTCGGCTTCCCAATCTTCTTTTTATTTATCTATATTTCCTACTTTTCCCTATACACCAGTACTTTTTGTTTGTTTGTGTTTGAAACACGGTCTCACTCTGTCAACCAGGCTGGAGTGCAGTGGTGTGATCATAGAGCACTGCAGCCTTGAACTCCCGGGCTTCAGAGATCTACCCACCTCAGCCTCCCAAGTAGGTGGGACCACAGGTACAAACTGCCTCCCGAGTGCAAACTGCAAAACATGTTGAAAGAATTATTCCCAAAACTGAACACATCCTTTTGTATGAAGTTCCAGAACAGACAAAACTAAGCTATGGTTATAAAAATCAGAACAATGTCTGAGTAGAAAGGGGCAGATAGAACTTACTAGGGAGATGGAAGAAGTTTGTACCTTGATGCAGGGGCAAATTATGAAAGATTATACATATGTCAAAGTCTGCTCAGAATAAATGCTTAAAATCTGTGCATTTTTGTGTATGTATATGAAACCTCGATTACTAAAAGAAAGATAAAAAACTGTAGTACAACTCTGACTCTACCAAAAAGTGATTTACTTCTGGTTGTATTAGTAACATCAAAACCTTACAAACCATACCTCCTTATTACCTTCTAGTTAGTTACAAACATCCCTCATTGATATCTATATCCCCATTCCACACATACCCACTGAAAGGTGAAAATGACCATAAAACACTTATGGCCCAAAATAACTTTTACTGTCAAGGTCAAATCTTTTACTTCTAAATATTCAATAGTGTTTCTTAGAGATAGTATTAAACAGCTAAACATTTCTTATTTCATCTTTTATTTAAATAATGAGAAAATGATGCTGAAACTATACAATGTCAAAACACAACATATGTGTGGAACAGCTGTTTGAGAAGATAATACCATTTGTTTCCTAAACTACCTCAAAAGAATGTCTTGAAGATTAATGAGACAATGGACCAGATCATTTTCAGTGGGTGAACTATTTGCTGCTGGTAATTTGGGTACATCAGACCACTAGAATACCATTACCATTAAAGCAAAATAGTAAACTTAAAATTTTATATTCTAATAGTGAAGTTTTAAAATATTCAAAATGGTGCTTTCTGAAGCATAGTTTATACTTGAAGTGTACTTTAATTCCTTTAAATAAGAACAGAAAGCTTTTGATTGCTGAATTAAGCAATAAAGCTCTTCTTTTTAACATTTTAAGAGTTTATCATTATACTAGTCACCCAGCAATGAAAACATAAAAGATGCAGTCAGTGCCCTCAAGAGGCTCGCAATTTAGTGAGGAAAACAAAAAATAATATAAATGCAATATGACAATGCTTTTTAAAAAATCCCTACATACCTGGTCCTCCAGAAATATCTGGAAGGAGCATTCAACCAGAATGTGATGGGACCTGTGAAGTGGAAGGGTGGGTATCAGAGAAGGCCTATGAGCAGCAGTGGCACCTGAGCAGACCACCCCTAGAAGGATGTGGCCTTCAGTGAAGGTCTAGGACCTGTGCAGAGAGTGTTCAGGCTAGGCTCCATGGATGCAAAGAAAGGCAACCAGCCAAGGAGGCACAGGGTACTCCTAGAGATCTCCAGTGCCAGGCAGGGCAGGAGATGAAAAAGGAGATGCCAGTGCAAGCAGACTGGGAAGAGCCTTCTAGCAAGAAATACAACATATGCATCCAGACTCTGAGAAAGACTTAGATGTGGCAGTCAGTAGCCTGAAGGAAGTAACTAAAGTTATCACCCAAGGAGATCTGCAGCATGCAAACAACAGAAGACTATTACAGAAATCCTGGCATCGGGTCCAGGTGAAAAAGGAACAGGTAAAAGAAAGGTGGGCAGGTGCAGTCAGGTATGTGAACAGTATGTCACAAAATCAAACGAATAAAGAGCAGGAGGGAATAACTCACAGTGACAAGTCACAGAGACAAGCCTACAGTGTTGTTTGGATTTGATAATTTGTGGGTTGTATTAGACCCTTATTGCCTTGCTATAAAGGAATACCTGAGACTGAGTAATTTATTTAAAAAAAAAAAAAAAAAAAGAGGTTTAATTGACTCACGGTTCTGCAGGATGTACAAGCTCGGCCCTGGCATTTGCTAGACTCCTGGGGAGGCCTCAGGGAGCTTTTATTCATGGCAGAAGGCAAAGTTGGAGCAGGTACATTATGTGGAGAGAGAGGAAGCAAGACAGCAAGGGGAAGATGCCTCACACCTTTAAACAGCCAGATCATGTGAGAACGCACCACAGTGAAGACAGCACCAAGGGGATGGTGCTAAACCATGAGAAATCCACTCCCATGATCCAGTCACCTCCCATCAGGCCCTACCTCCAACGCTGGAGATTACATTTCAACATGAGATTTAGATGGGACAAATATCCAGACTACATTATGGTGTCTCAGGTGCCCTCAGCAAGAACAGTTTCTGTGAGATGATGGAGAATAATGGAGGAAGTGGAGTTCCTGCAGACTACAGCTTTCAGCAAGTCTGGCTGTGAAGGGAAGAGGAGACAACCAAGGCTGGTGAGGGATTTCGGCTGAAGGATGGTTTTGAGAGGGTGAAGAAAAGGAGTTTAATGCCATCTGTTTGTATTTGTTTTGCGGTTTTGGTTTCGTTTTGAGAGTTTCCAGTGTTTATATATTAAGACAAAATAATTTATTACTAGAAATGGTAGAAGAACATTTTAAAATCAGGAAATAACTAGTAAAGATACCAAACAGGAAAGAAGGATGAAATAGAAAAGTTATTAAGAGGTATTTATAGGGGTGGTGGTATCCAGAGGAATGCCTCTTTCACTGAGAAAGAGAAGAAAGCAGTGAAGGTGGGTTTAGATACCAAAGAGTTTGTAGGTGTTGAGAGGGAAGCTGATGTTGGTACAAAGAGAGCTTATTTCTGTTGACCTAGGATGGCACAGTTGGTTTCTGGTTTCCCAAATACTACTTTAAGGAAAGAAAGCTACATAATTATTCATCTAAAGCAAGTAAAGAAGTGAGAGTTAAATAGTTAATACATTTCAGATATTTCACTGAGTTGTTTATTTGCAATGATATAAGGGTGAGACAGTGCTTGAAATGAACTTAATTTTACCAAAATTAGTTCATTTCATCACCATTACAGATGACATTTGGTTGTTAGTTACTGATACACAACAAAACCTGGTATATATAGTATATCAATATACATTTATTATTAGAAAACACAAAATTAAAAGCTAATTTAAAAACATAATCATTAATCCTTCATAGAACTTTTAGAAACTTTCAAGGACAGAGAAATAATATCTCTTCCAAAAAGTCACATTTCTTCTGGTCATATAAAAGAGGCTAAGGCAACATGTTGTAGAAACTATTATTTGTATTTGTGTTGAACTAACAATGTACAGTGCACATAAAAATTGGTTCCCAAACTGTGTATGACAGGTGTTCTATTAAAACAGATCAATGACTGTATGTGCTCACTGGACTTTAGAGTGCTTACGCTCCTTTCTGCCCCTCCATCTCACCCACCTGGAAGATGGTGCCTCACAGCCAAAAATACAGGCTTTTTTGACCTCTTGAGAAACACATCATCCAGCTACACAAAGGCAGCTGCAGGCCATCACCAATGGGTAAGCATCAAATGAAACCCTTTGCTACAGTGATATTGTTCCTAAAGATATTACAGAGTACTGCATATAAAAATTTTAAATATAAGAATAGATCTAAAAGAAATAAGATAATAAGGAATAAATTCATTGTGTATTCCCCAAAATCTATAAAAATAATTATTTTTAAGTGAATCACAGTCACAGTAATCCTCTGCCCTAGACTTACTATGTCAGAGATGTGAAAGATTTAAATGCTGTTAAAACAAGAGGTTTTCCCCTTCCAACGGCAAAGAAATCAGGAAACAGAAAGAAGGAAGGGGTTTAGGACTTTTCCCAGCTATGCTGTCTTCTACAGCCACTGATAAGGGCCAACCCCTCTCCAATCCCAGCCTAGAAACCATACTGTGTCAATGCCCAAGTCTTTCTGTGGCAAAAATAAGGAAAGGAGGAGCCCAGTCAGAAGGTGCAGTGGCCATGGAAAGAGGAGCCCAACAGCTCTGATCCCCAGAGGCTCCGAGACCTGTCCTAAAGGACAATCCTCATTCCTCAGCAGGCAGGCACACAGGCACACAGGTCAGACACCCCTTCTCCCTCTCCATCTCCATAAGGACAACCCTATGTACATGTTCCAAATACTAAGACAACCATTTCAGTTAAATATTGGCCACTAAGAAAATGGGGTTTAAAATAAGGAAATTCACTTTGTAAAATGTTTATCCTTTTGTGTGACTAGGTTTTTGGGGACTGCTTTTCTGGTATATTTGCTTTTACCAAAAAGGAAAACTTACTGTTGATGTGATCGATGTAGTAGACACCAATCTGAGGGTCAAACCCTGCTTCCCATCCCCACGGCAGCTCATCCCCAACACAATCAGCAAATGACAAAGGCTTCGTTAACCTACAACAAACCAGAATAGATACACCAGTGATTCTTTCCGTCAAACTGCATATATCAAAATTCAGCACCCTAACCACAAGTTAAGTGTCTAGGTTGCATTTAAAATCTTAAAGAAAAAAAAAAAAAAACAAGGATAAAATACAGAGGTTTATAACCAAAAAAGTAGGATAAGTCATAATACCGTTTTGAAAGTTCACTCCCTAATACTTGGTGATAAATCTATACAATAAATAAATAAAGACATCCAAAATCAGGGAAAACGCCAAGCTGAGAGTCAGGAAGCCTGGGATGTAGCTCTAGCTCTGCAGTGAAACGGATACCCCATTAAAAAGAAAAATGGGTCCCAGGGTTCAAATACTGGTATCAGGAAAATCCTATCAGTAGCTTTGAGACAAGATCTGAATGAGGTTACACCAGTTTCAGACTGAATGCTCCTATATAAATTAACTAAAACACTCAACTGTGAAGTCTACTATAAGTTCTCCTTGAGAGGAAAGACAAATTTTTTGTAAGTATCTTGTACATAACAGTCACCCAACAAAATTTTTAACTGGACCAAATACATAAAGTATTCATTCACATATCAATGTGATCTCATCTTTTGAAATTGCTTTATACCCTCTCTTAAGACCATTTTTTCTTTAAGACGCTTTCTCTGTAGGACTTTTCTCTTTAAAACCAACAAAGAAACTACATAGTTTCCCAAGCAGAGCATAGGTTTCAGACTTAATTACAATAGGTTTTTTTTTTTTTCTCACATCCTTGCATTTTGTTTTTGAGATTCTCCTTGGCTACTGGAGCAGCAATCAGCAGGTTAACACCACAGATGCCTTCCTGGAGTGCGGCCACCATCAGTCAACACATTTTCTAATTTAATGCACTGGCACCACTAGCATGGTTCTTACATAGAAAATCTCCAGGAATCTCTTTTATCCATGCTAATGACTGTCAAAGATCTCATAGTTCAATTGAAATATAGGTCATTTTCAGAATCACATCATTCATCGGAATAACAAAGTACATCACCCACCCTTCAGAATGCTGAAGAATGATATAAAAAGGAGGAAAATTATTTTTTTCCAGGCCTACTCTGCAATAGTCCTCCAAGGACACAAAACACCAATAGATGAAAGGAAGGGTCTACTTTTCTCTCAGCCTTCCCATAGCATGAAATCTCTCTTTCTGGGGATGGCTCCAAAGAAGACACTGGCCTTCCAAACTAGATGAGCAGGCAGAAGCAATAATGAGGGTAACCCGCTCTACCACTGACTCACTGTGAGACCACCTACTGGGCACCTCTTCCTACCTCAGTTTCCTTCTCTTTTGAGTAGTGATTATACCTTTATATACTCTCCCTACAATTTAGCTCCTAAAATTAAACTCAGGATAAGAAGAATTTAACTTGGAAGAGTATCCAAGACATTATAAGTAGCAATAAATGTCAGTGATTATTAACACAAGCATATGTGAATTTTCTCATTTATCCCTCAGCGCAATCAAATCAGGTAGCACAGTACAGAACTGTGGTTCTCAGAATATAGTTTCCAGAACCAGTGCATCAACATCTGGACCTGGTTATAAATACAAATTCTGGTTGGGCACAGTGGCTCATGCTGTAATTACAACACTTTGGGAGGCTGAGGCAGAAGGATGGGTTAAGACCAAGAGTTCAAGACTAGCCTGGGCAACACAGTGAGACCTTCTCTCTACAAAAAAATAAAAAATTAGCCAGGTACGGTGGCTCATGCCTGTAATCTCAGCACTTTGGGAAGCCAAGGTGGGAGCATCATTTGAGCCCAGGAGTTCAACACTGCAGTGAACCATGACTGCACCACTGCATTCCAGCCTGGGCAACAGAGTGAGACCCTATCTCTAGAAAAACTAAAATGATTAAAAAAAAAAAAAAGAAATACAAATTCTTGAGCCCTATTGTGGAGAGAAACTCTAGGTCCCAGCAATGCATGCTTTCCAGGTAATTCTGCTGCACACTAAAGTGTGGGAACGATGGGCTTAGTAGTTAAGAGCTTGAAATTTGGCATCAAAGAGAACTGGGCTCAAATATTTATTCTTCCACTTACTCACTATACAACCTAGAGCAAGTTATTAGCCTTAAAAGCCCCAGTTTCCTATTTTTTTTTAAGGTGGTAAGAAGACAATTAAGTTGAGATGAAAACTAAACAGTATAATGACCATGAAATGGTAAGCTTCAATATATGACAGATGAGTAAAATGAATCTCAAACATGTTAAGCAATGTGCCCAAATATGTCAACTTGCCATGTTTTCTTTGTAAACATGGAGTTTATTTGAACTCAATCTGAGTTCAAATGCAAAAATGTTTATTCTTAGAATTGTGCTCAAATTCTGTCTTACATCAAAAACTGCCCAGGAAAATTGATTTTTCTTTTGACAAAGAATGAGATACCGTATCAAAAATCCCTATACCCTAGGACACCTCCTTGTCTGCATACATGGTCTCTTTGACTACCCCAATAAAGCAACTAGATTAAGAGCTTCTGTGCCAGGACACACTCTGTATCACTGTTTGGTGATTCTCTTTCACTAACTCCTTTATCAATGCTGTCTAAAAGGCACATGCATCCTAAAGAAATGAAGAAGGAGGAAACATGAGAACGTTAAGTTTAAGTGACAAAAGAGAAATATTAGACTAGTATTACCTGGGCACCAATTCAATCTGCTTAAGCATGAGTATGACAGGAATATATTTATTGCTTTTAGAATAAGAACTTATAAAAGCTTCAGAGCATGTGCTATGATTACAAGTTAATAGTAACTTGATTACATTTGGAAATAATCCAGTTTGTTCCACTAACTGATTAGCAGATAAGCATTTATCTGTCACTATTCTAAGACTAGAATTACATCTATAGGTATACATGTAATTGTGAACTCTGAAAAATTCAGAAAATTTCACTCCTAAAATGTTTAATATAAAAGTTTATTTGCAGTGTTACTTCAAATATCAATTTAATACTTTATTTTCTATATATGGATAAATATGTATCTTTTCTCTACACTCTATCAATAAGTAAAACCATTACATACATATTTGCAAATATATAAAATTTTAGAATTAGTTGTTATGCAAATTATAAAATATAAATAGAATAACATTCTCAGATTCCAAACAAATTAAGCACCCAATTACAGGACTATCCTAATAGAAAGAAAATATACTATGATGTACTAAAAAATAACATAAAGCAAAAAGAACAGATGTATTCCAAAATTACAAACAACATACATTAAAACAAATACAGTGAACTGATGTTAATTAACTTTTAAATTTCTTCCTCTCGTTGTACACATGGAATCTCTTACACATTCAAGCTTTCTTTGATGTTAAGTAAGTAACAAATAGAGTTTGTTTTTTGTTGGTTCCCTGCAAAGGAGCAACAACTTGCAACAACAACAACAACAACAACAAATCCTGAAATTAACTAGAGTCTTTATGCTGAATTCCAGAGATTTCTCTTTACTTAAAAAGTCTTCCTTTGCACCATGCCTAATATGAAGAAAATGGTAATTTACTGCAGCACTTTGCTAACGTTTATATACAAAATTTAACTCTGCACCATATTTCCTCTCCTTGTTGGCATTGTATCATTCTTTTACAGTCATTTAATATTTACTGTCAACGCATGGATACCTGTCCTATGACATGAGATGACACACAGTGATATATTTGTTCACATCATAATTACATGATGGTGAATACCGTGTACACGTGTACAAGCACAACTCCAGAAAACCTGACTTCGCGCTAATTGCACTAAATGAATAAGCACTTGAAAAAAACATTTCAGATTACTAAAACTCTTGCCACAATTCAGAAGCTCCCAAATACATAGTTTAGCACAAACGTTAAAAGTCTTAACAGTTATTTTTACTTTGTAGCATCTGTTGTTCTCATGGTTTAGCTCACATAAAACAGTGCTCATATTGTCAGCTGCCTATGATTACTATAGAATCTGCTCACAGAAACATCACTGACTTGCTCTAAGAGAACAGGGAGGAAGTAAAGATGTGTTTCACTATTTGAATTTTAAAGCAAAGATAAAGTACTAGAAATCTTTCTATAGTCCTAAAAGAATCTTCATTTATAATGATGTCAATTATTTTCCTCAAAACAAATTTTTTTTTTTTGAGACAGAGTCTCGCTCTGTCGAACAGGCTAGAGTGCAGTGGCGCGATCTCAGCTCACTACAACCTCCACCTCCCTAGTTCAAGCAAGTGATCCTGAGATCACTTTTGGATTACAGGTGCACACTACCACGCCCAGCTAATTTTTTTGTATTTTTAGTAGAGACTGGATTTCACCATGTTGGGCAAACTGGTCTCAAACTCCTGACCTCAGGCAATCCGCCTGCCTTGGCCTCCCAAAGTGCTGGCCTGAGCTACCATGCCAGGCCAACAACTTCTATCTATTACTAGATAGGGAAACTACCAACACAAAGAAACAAACAAAAGAGAATAATAGGAAAGAGTGGATGGAAGCAACTAGAAAAAAATGGCTTTAAGAAAAATTCTACAAACTGCTTCAGAAAATAGTAATGAGATTACTTCCATGTCTGTGAGGAAATTAGCTTAAATTATTAGAGAAGTCATATTAGACAGAATTTCCAGAAAATAAAGATTAGATATTAGAACAGGTCACAATGGGCCAGGTACGGTGGCTAACACCTGTAATCCCAGCAATCTGAGAGGCCGAGACAGGCAGATCACTTGAGGTCACAAGTTCGAGACCAGCCTGCCAACATGGTGAAACCCCATCTCCACTAAAATTATAAAAACTAGCCAGGTGTGGTGGTAGGCACCTGTAATCCCAGCTACTCAGGAGGCTGAGGCAGGAGAAGTGCTTGAACCTGGGAGGCAGAGGTTGCAGTGACCCAAGATCGTGCCGCGGCACTGCAGCCTGGGCAACAGAGCTAGACTGTCTCAAAAACAAAACCAAACAAAACAAAACGCACAAGTCACAATGGGGAGAATCATCTCTTCCCGAAATCATTTTTAGCTAAAGACAAGAAAAATAGACTGGGCAACATCTGGAAGCTCCAATCTAGCCTCACTCCCATATGCTTCCTGCCATGAGCCCTTTTAGGTGTCTGGAAACTTATATTACTGTTTATTAAAACAGTTACTCAGTATCTTGAATATCATTTTATGACATACTGATTTTTTCAGAAAGGAAAGAAACTAATTTTATTAGTTGTCTATTATGTTCCAAGAATTATGCAAGGTTGTTTCATATGTTATCTCATTTAACCCTAACAACAATCCTTCAAAATGGGTTTTGCTATTCCCATTTTTTACAGATTGAATTCTGTATATGACACAGCCAAAATTTTGTGTTTTATGGGAAACCTAAAACACATGTCACAGAGTCCTGTGTTTCGGACCCTGTGTGCATAGGGGGATATAACAAGGACTTGGTCCTTGCCCTAGAGAGCCAACGTGAGGACAGCCAGGCAGATAACTAACTTGTCACACTAGGACTTGGCCAGGAAGGCCCTTAGCCTGGTGCAACGGGTTAGGAAGGAGACTGCTGCTCCAGCATTTAAACGATTCACCCAGTGCTATAGAGCTGGCAAGAAACATAACTAGGCAGCCTAGCCAGGATCATTTCTTCAGATTAGCTCATGTCGTCTTTGTACCTGCTTGGGTCCTCAGATAATTCTCCCCTATATTGGATCTAGGTCTGGTCCTCCTACAGCTGGCATGAGTTTTGTCACCTGGTACCAAAGAGAACTAGTTTGCTACCTCCTCCACATCATAGACTTTCAAATATTTGAACACAACTATCTTGTCTCCCAGGGCTGCTCCCCCAGACACACACATCCCACTCCTCTCTGCACGTCTCATATCTCTCCTCCACTCCAGCCTGCCAGTCTCCTGCCGTCACCCCTGCCGCTCCTCTCTACTCTGCAGTCTCATTCCACCTCTTACCATCTGAGACTTATCTCTTCTCATATGGTTAATTTTTTCTCCTTCAATCTATAAATATATTCAATCCCCTCTCCCCTAAAAAAGCCTTTCCTCGGCCAGGCACGATGGCTCACGCCTGTAATCCCAGCACTTTGGGAGGCCGAGGTGGGCGGATCACAAGGTCAGGAGTTCAAGACCAGACTGGCCAACATGGTGAAACCCCTTTTCTACTCAAAAATACAAAAATTAGCTGGGCATTGGTGGCTTGTGCCTGTAATCCCAGCTACTCGGGAGGCTGAGGTAGGAGAATTGTTTGAACCAGGACCCAGGAGGCAGAGGTTGCAGTGAGCCGAGATCATGCCACTGCACTCCAGCCTGGGCTACAGAGCGAGAGAGACTCCATCTCAAACAAAACAAAACAAAAAAGCCTTTCCTCAAACCCTTTGACTCTTCTTTTGCCATTCACTTACTAACCATTCCTAACCATTCCCTCATCCTAGCCTAGAGGCTTTAAAACAGGAGGACTTTAGGAGGCCCTATCATAGAATTTCCCCTCTGCCACCTAACACTTAATTCTATAGTTACTTCATGAATACACTTTTGAAAGACAATATCTGTGGGTGATTTGCCTTTGAAAGGGCACATGGTTCATGCTGTTGGGTTGTGAGATCCAGATATATTATTTGCAAAAGCTTCAATGCTTACCATATTCTATGTTAAAGAAAAAGTCAAATTTTACATACAGCAATTATACTAATAATATAAAACACTTACTGAATGCTTATCATGTACCACACGTTATAATATACATAAATGTGTGAGTTAAATCCTCATAAAACTCTGCAAAGTAGATATACTTCTTCCTTTTGAATAGCCTGCGCAGAAAAAAAAAAAAACACTCCTCTTCAAATAAGCCCGTGTTTGGGTCACGCACACTTCTCTCTCCAGTCAACATCTCTGCCGTATTGGCCTTCACAATAAAAAGCTTCATAATGTTGGCTCTGAAGCAGTAAAAAATAAAGTCTAGACACAAATAAAAGGAAACATAGCTCATGAAAAGCAAGGCCAAAAAAACTGAAAAAGTACAAATAAAAGGAAAAATATACATCATGGGTATGGGCCTCTTAAATTACTTCAGTATTTGGCCAAAGATCAAAAGCAGCTTTTGAAAAATACTTTCCTCTTTTTAACATAATTTTTAAACTGAATAGCAGTTTCTAGGTAAAACTATATGATTTATGCTTTCTTAAATAGGAGGTTTTAACATGATTTCAACTTAATTGTTCATATTGTCTGACTACTTAAGCTAAAAAAATGTGGTGCTAATGAGACCAACATTGTGGATTACAACTCCCACAAGGGCTGTTTGTTTATCATAGAATCAACCTAAGAATCTTGGTTTACAGTAGCAGTTCTGACAACTACATGTGCCTCCAATCTGACTCAACTGAAAGGCTTGTAAAAACACAGACTGCTGGGGTCACCCTCAAAGTTTCTGACTCAGTAGATATGGGAAGGACCTGAGGATTTACATCTCTAAGTTCTGAGGCAATACTCATCAGTAAACTTCAGGGACCAGAAGTTCACTTTGACTGCTATTGTTTAAAAGGCATAAATTAGGTTGAATCCCTTATCCAGCCAGGTGATGGAAAAATGGAAAACAAGCTAAAAACAAACCTGGAGGCAAAAGGCTGTATTTTAGAAGTACCTCTGTTACGAAAACGATGAAATATTTAAACAGAATTAATAGCTTAACAGTACTCAAATTTGGAATAGGACACTTCACTTAATTTTATGTAAACATTTCCTTTCTTCAAAGGATACTTAACTAATTTGAAAATAACTTCAAGAGTACGGCTTTCTTTTTCCTTCATTTTCTCACTTACAAATATTAACAGTACTCATCATCATTAGTTATTATGGAAATACAAATCAAACCACAGTCAAGTACCAGTTCACACCCACTATCATGGCTATCATTAAAAAAAACATATACATAAGACACAAGTGTTGACAAGGATGTGGAGAAATGGGAACTCTGTACATTGTGGGTGGGAACGTAAAATGGTGCAGCCTCTGTAGAAAATGGTTTTGCAATTCCTCAAAAAGTTAAAATGGAATTACCATATGATCTCACAATACCACTCCTAGGTCTACTTCTAAAGGAAGTTAAAATAGGTACTTGAATAAGTACATGTGTGTGCATGATCACAGCTGCATTATTCATAACAGCCAAAAGGTGGAAACAGCCCAAATTCCCATCAACAGGTGAACGCATAAAAAATTGTGGTATATACAGGAAATGGAATATTAGCCGTAAAAAGCAACGAAGTACTTATACATGCTATAACGTGGATGAACCTCCAAAACATTATGCTAAGTGAAAGAAGCCAGGCACAAAAGGTCACATGTTATATGATTCCAATATATGAAATATCTAGTTCACGAATCGATAAAAACAGAAAGTAGATTAACGGTTGCCTGGTGACAAGGAGAGGGGCAAATAGAAACTGCTTACTGGGTACCTTGCAGGAGTGGTGAAAATGTCCTGAAACTAAACGTAGGGGCTGGTTCCACAACACTGTGAATGTACTTAATGAATTGATCATTTTTAAACGGTTAATTTACATTAGGTAAATTTCACTTCAATACGTTGTTTTAAAAAGGAGTAACACATATATAATAATGCCAAGAATCTAAGTGAATAAAGTATTTTCACAAAAGATAATAAAAGCATGGGAAAATGTTAAACATCACTAATAATAAAAAGAAATGCCAAATACAATAAAATAATGAGGCTAAAATTTAAGCCTATTAAAGTATCAAGTTTTGTTTGTTTTTATAGACAGGGTCTTACTGTGCCGCCCAGGCTGGAGTGCAGTGGGACAATCATGGCTCAGCTCACTGCAGCCTCAATCTCGAGGGCTGAAGCCATCCTCCCACCTCAGCCACCCAGGGAGCTGGAACTACAGGTGCACACCAACACACTTGGCTAAATTTATTAGTTTTTCCTTTGCAGGAAAAAAGGGAGGTCTAATGCCAAGGGTGATCTCAAACTCCTGAGCTCAGGTGATCTGACCTCCTTGGCCTCCCAAAGTGCTGAGATTACAGGTTTGAGCCACTGCTTCCCGCTGTGCTGCTTTGTCTTAGTGATGAAACTCACTCTGGTGAGGATGTGGGGCATCAGCTACTTTCATTTATTGCTGGTGACTTTGTAACTCGATACACTCCTTTTAAGAAACAATTTGGCAGTGTTAAAAATCCATTAAAATGTTGATTCCGGGTAGGGGAAGGGAGAGCTTTAGGGGAAACAGTGATGGATTGATAGGTGCAGCAAGCCACCATGGCACACATTTACCTATGTAACAAACCTGCACATTACTGCACACATACCCCAGAACTTCAAATGAATATTTAAATTTTTTTAAATGTTGATTCCATTTAACCTAGAAATGCTATTCTCAATTATGCTGCATGAACCTTATCCCACCTCCACAGAGATCAGCTGCCACATAAGGCATGTCACTACAGTGGACTCAGCCTCCAGCCCAAACTATGAGCTTCTCAAAGGCAGGGACCTACCTTCTTCTCACTCTCTAGCACAATGCCTAATTCCTACCTCATATATAGTCAATACATAATAAATGTTTAATGGAAGAAAGAGTATAAAGGAAGGTAGAAAGAAAATGTCAACTATATCATGAAAAGGTTGTAATTTATTCTTTCAAAAATTTTCTATTTATACAGAAGTAATAGTATATACAATTATTCAAATAACAACATGAAGCTGGTATTAAGGTGTTAGTTGATACCTACGTTTCCTGACAATGGAACAAGATACGAGAAAACCTTTCAATAACTGCATCAAAACACTTTTTTGTTTTTTATTGCATCTATTTGATTCTTCTCTCTTTTCTTTCTTATTAATCTGGCTAGCAGTCTATTTTGTTGATCTTTTCCAGATTCCTGGATTTACTGATTTTTTTGAAGGGTTTTTTGTGTCTCTGTCTCCTACAGTTCTGCTCTGATCTTAGTTATTTTTTGTCTTCTGCTAGCTTTTGAATATTTTTGATATTGCTCCTCTAGCTCTTCCAATTGTGACGATGTTGATTTTGGATCTTTTCTTGCTTCTCATGTGGGCATTTGTTGCTACAAATTTTCCTCTAGACACTGCTTTAAATGTGTTGCAGAGATTCTGGTACGTTGTGTCTTGGTTCTCATTGGTTTCGAAGAACATCTTTATTTCTGCCTTCATTTCATTGTTTACCCAGTCAACATTCAGGAGCCAGTTGTTCAGTTTCCATAAAACTATGCAGTTCTGAATTAGTTTATTAATGCTGAGTTCGAATTTGATTGCATTGTAGTCTGACAGACTGTTTGCTATGATTTCCATTCTTTTGCATTTGCTCAGGAGTGATTTACTTCCAATTATGTGGTCAATTTTAGAGTAGGTGGGATGTGGTGCTGAGAAGAATACATATTCGGTGGATTTGGTCTGGAGAGTTCTGTAGATGTCTATTAGGTTTGCTTGGTCCAGATCTGAGTTCAAGTCCTGGATATCCTTGTTGGCTTTCTGTCTCGTTGATCTAATATTGACATTGGAGTGTTAAAGTCTCCCATTATTATTGTGTGGTGTCTAAGTCTCTCACTATTATTGTGTGGGAGTCTAAGTCTCTTTGTAGGTCATTAAGAACTTGCTTTATGTATCTGGGTGCTCCCGTATTGGCTGCGTATATATTTAGGATCGTTAGCTCTTGTTGCATTGATCCTTTTACCATTATGTAATGCACTTCTTTGTCTCTTTTGATCTTTGTTGGTTTAAAGTCTGTTTTCTCAGAGACTAGGACTGTAACTCCTGCTTTTTTTTTGCTCTCCATTTGCTTGGTAAATCTTCCTCCATCCCTTTATTTTGAGCCTATGTGTGTCCTCACACAGGTTTCATGAATATGGCACAATGATGGATCTGGACTTTTTATCCAATTTGCCAGTCTGTGTCTTTTGATTAGGGCATTTAGCCCATTTACATTTAAGGTTAATATTGTTCTATGTGAATTTGATCCTGCCATTTTGATGCTAGCTGGCTGTTTTGCCCGTTAGTTGACGTAGTTTCTTCATTGTGTTGATGGTCTTTACCATTTGGTACATTTTTGAAGTGGCTGGTACTGGTTGTTCCTTTGCATGTTTAGTGCTGCTTTCAGGAACTCTCATAAGGCAGGCCTGGTGGTGACAAAATCTCTCAGCAATTGCTTGTTCATAAAAAAATTTTATTTCTCTTTCACTTATGAAGCTTAGTTTGGTTGGATATGAAATTCTAGGTTGAAAGTTCTTTTCTTTAAGGATATTGAATATTGACCCCCACACTCTTCTGGCTTGTAGGGTTTCTGCTGAGAGATCTGCTGTGAGTCTGATAGGCTTCCCTTTGTGGGTAACCTGACCTTTCTCTCTGGCTGCGCTTAGCATTTTTTCCTTCATTTCAACCCTGGTGAATCTGAAATTATGTGCCTTGGGGTTGCTGTTCTTGAGGAGTATATTTGTGGTGTTCTCTATATTCCTAGACTTGAATATTGGCCTGCCTTGCTAGGTTTGGGAAGTTCTCCTGGATAATATCCTGAAGAGTGTTTTCCAGCTTGGATTCATTCTCTCCATTACATTCAGGTACACCTATCAAATGTAGATTAGGTCTTTTCACATAATCCCATATTTCTTGGAGGCTTTGTTCATTTCTTTTCACTCTTTCTTCTCTAATCTTGCCTTCTCATTTTATTTCATTGAGTTGATTTTCAATTTTTGATATCCTTTCTTCTGCTTGGTGGATTCAGCTACTGACACTTGTGTATGCTTCACAAAGTTCTCGTGTTGTATTTTTCAGCTCCATCAAGTTGTTTATATTCTTCTCTAAGCTGACTATTCTTGCTAGCATTTAGTCAGACCTTTTTGCAAGGTTCTTAGTTTCTTTGCATTGGGTTAGAAGATGTTCTTTCAGCTCTGAGAAGTTTGTTATTACCCACCTTCTGAAGCCTGTTTCCGTCAATTCATCAGACTCTTTCTCCATCCAGCTTTGATCCCTTGCTGGTGAGGAGCTGTGATCCCTTGGAGGAGAAGAGGCGTTCTGGTTTTGGGTGTTTTCATCCTTTTTGCAATAGTTTCTTCCCATCTTTGTGGATTCATCTACCTATGGTCTTTGTAGCTGGTGACTTTTGGATGGGGTCTCTGAGTGGATGTCCCTTTTGTTGATGTTGAAGTTATTTCTTTCTGTTTCTTAGTTTTCCTTCTAACAGTCAGGCCCCTCTGCTGCAAGACTGCTGGAGGTCCATTACAGAGCCTGCTTGCCTGGGGATCACCTGCAAGGGCTGCAGAACAGTAAGGGTTGCTGCCAGTTTCTTCTTCTGGTATCTTTGTCCCAGAAGGATACCCGCCAGATGTCAGCCTGAGCTCTCCTTTATGAGGTGTCTCTTTGGATATATGGGGGTCGAGGAACTGCTTGAGGAGATAGTCTGTCCCTTATAGGAGCTCAAGTGCTGTGCTGGGAGATCCATTGCTCCATTCAGAGCTGCTGGGCAGGTACGTTTAAGTCTGCTGCAGTGGAACTCATAACTGCCTCTTTTCCCAGGTCCTCTGTCCTGGGAATGTAGGGCTTTATTTATAAGTTCCTGATGTGCTGCTGCCTTTTTTCAGAGACGCCCTGCCCAGCAAGGAGGCAGTCTAGTCACAGTCTGCCAGCAGAGGCGTTGCTGAGCTGCCACGGGCTCTGCCCAGCTGCTGTGTAAACTTCCTTGAAGTTTGGTTTACAGAAGTACAGTTAGGGCTGCCTCTGTAATGGCGGTCTGCCTTGGTAATAGTGGACTGCCTCGGTAATGGCGGACTACCTCAGTAGTGGTAGATGCCCTTCCCCACACAGAGCTGGACCATCCCAAGTCCAGCTGCACTTGCTGCAAAACTCTCAATCCAGGGCATTTCGGATTGCTGGTCTTTGTGGGGGTGGGGCCTGTCATGCCAAATCACCTGGCTCCCTGTTTCAACCCCCTCTTTTTCAGCTGGGGATGGGCAGGTCAGAATGAGCAGCTCTGACTCCCAGGTGTTCCAGGCATCAGTTGAAACAGCTGCCCAGATTTGTGTGTGTTTTTGTGTGGAAACCCACGGCATCTCCAGAAAGAGCCGTGCTGGAAACCAGTGGCGCTTTTCAGCCCAGGAATCTCCTGGTCTGTGGACAGTAAAAACTTGTCTGGAAATGCGGTGATCACTCACCCTTTGCATTGTTCTCACTGGGAACTGCACTCCAGAGCTGTTCCTATTTGGTCATCTTGGATCTCCTCAATAAATTTTAATGTTTTATAATGGATGTGTATATTTTATGGTAGTAAATAATAAAAACAGTCTAGTATCTACATATATTTTATGCATTCTTGCCATACCTTTTCCTTAATTTTTTTCAATGTTTATAGGCTATGTAGTTCATGTAAGTTTTTTCAAATTGTGGAAAAACTCCCTCCCCCCGACCCAAGCAGCCACTCATCTACTTCCTGTCCCTACAGATTTGCCCTTTCTGGAATTGCATATAAATAAAAACATATAATTTGTGGTTTCTTATGTCTAGCTTCTATCATTTGGCATAATGTTTTTGAGATATATAATGTTATTATACAGCATGCATTAAGAATTCATTCTTGTTATTGCTGAATAGTATTCCATTGCTCAGATATCACATTTTGTTTATCCATTTACCAGTTTACAGATATATGGATTGTTTCCACTTCTAGCTAATATGAATGATGTTGCTATAAATGTTTGAATCTCAGGTTAGC